CCATATCTACTCCACAAAGCCACACCTCCTAAAAGTGCCACTCCCTTTGGGGGCCATTTTCTGTCAATCCTCCATAGTAAGTTATAATATACTGTACTTAGCTTCAATCTCATCTTTGCCTAAGCTGCTGTTGCTTTTATTTTTTTTCATTTTTATTTTTTTTTGTTTTTTCGAGACAGGGTTTCTCTATGGTTTTGGAGCCTGTCCTGGAACTAGCTCTTGTAGACCAGGCTGGTCTCGAACTCACAGAGATCCACCTGCCTCTGCCTCCTGAGTGCTGGGATTAAAGGTGTGCGCCACCACCGCCTGGCTGATTTTATTTTTTTTAAAAATAAACTTCGACTAAACACATGTTTAATGATGCAGAGGCAGCAAAGGATAAGTACATCTCCAGCAATGAAAATGTAATTAAAAGAAAGCAATATTTCCCCCATTAAATTAGTACACATTACAAAGTTCTAAAATGCCTAAACTTGGTGGGGGTGAGCGTTGGAGAAACAAATATTTGCTGCAAGCGAGGAAAAAGTTAACAAAATCTCTTTGGGAAGCAATTTAACATTCTACATTAAAACTAAATGAATAATATTCTTTGTTTATTGTTTTTCAAGACAGGGTTTCTCTGAGTAGTCCTAACTGTCCTGGAGCTTACTCTGTAGACCAGGCTGGCCTCAAACTCAGAGATCTGCCTGCCTCTGATTTAATCCTGAGTGTCAGGATTAAAGTTGAGTGCCATTATGCCTGGCTTTAAAGATAATGTTCATTATTAAAGCAACTTAATTTTTAGAAGCAATTCCAATATACAAACAACTTTATTCTATTTTTTACTTAATTAACATTTTTCATTTGTTTTTCATACTGACCTCAGTTTCCCCTCCCTCTTCTCCAGTTCCCTCCTCAACCCCTCCTCGACTCCCATCTATCCTCACTACCCACTCCTTCCTAGTCTCCATTCAGAAAGGCCAGGCCTCCCGTGGGCTTGAACAAAGTTGAGACAGGATGGCGTTTCTCAGCCTGCAGGGAGGCTGGGTGAGGTAAGCCAGTATGGGGAACTGGTTCTCCAAAGCCTCAACTGCTTCTTTTAAGTACTGGGTTTAGCACTGAAGCCCTGCTCTTCAAATCATCTCAGCCTAGAGAAGCAATTGGAGGTGGGGTTGAGATTGGAGTTACAGGAGGGACTGGAAATGGCAGGAAGGCGGTTGGGTGGTGTGGTGCTGTGGTTGAACTGGAGAAGGGCTGAGCACTCTGTCTCTTTCATAAATCATATTTTAAGGACACTAATCCTACCATAGAAACACCATCCTTAAGGCCAAATTACTTTCCTAAAGCCATTTCCTTACCCAATACTATCACACTACTGGGGGCTGTGACATCACTGGGCGATGGATATGCCCGGTTCTCCATTAGTGACAGGGAATGTCACGTTTCAGCAAGGAGGAAGTTAGGAGGGGTATTCCAGGGACAGGAACTGTGCTGGGTTACAGAGTGTCAAGCAAAACAAATTGGAAACAAAAGAGGAAGAAATTCTTGGATCTGTGGCCCTCCCCTGCAGTGTGGTTGACTTCCTAGAGGCTGTACTCTTAGAGAAAATGGACTCTCCCTCTTCCAGAAGCTAGCAATTGCCGATAACTCCTTGGATGGGTTGGGGGGACCAAAGTGAACACAAAGTTGAGGAGGGTAGGAAAGTGGGGGTGGACCTGAGAGGGTTGAGGGATGGAAGGGTGAATATGATTAAACCATGTACAAAATTCCCAAATATCTGATAACATTTTAAAATTAAAAATGAATTTTAAAAAGGACAAGAAAGCAGGAGATCCAGTGCAGAGAATCCAGGTTTGAACCGAAATGGAAGTCTCTAGAGGTGGCCGAAGAGGCAACACCAGCATTTGCCTCTCTCTTGTTGCTTATTTCAATCTTTTCTCCTTGAAAGCGGCACTGCTTGAGAGGGAAGCCAGGGTGAAACCTGCCACCAATGCGTTCAGTCTGTGTCATGTGGCTGCTGATTTCCTGCCTCTTTTCTTCCCCTCTGTTCTTCTGAACCACGTAGAAATACGCGATGGTGTCTTAGAGCCTTGCCTGCGGGGTCAGATGTTGTTTTTAGCCTTGAAGATGGAGAGGAATATTCTCCATGTGTCCCCACCTCATCTGCCTGTGCTCAGGCCCTTCACTGAACTGCCACTCTGGGGTTCAGAGCTGAGGAGGTCCATTCACTCTTGTAACAAGGGGGATTGAGGGAGCCCAGGGGAGAGTATTACCAAGCTCTGCTACAGCTACTGGGGTGAATATCTCTAGGACACTGGCCAAACAAACCTGGAGCAAATGAAACATCTTTGGGGTCTTCATAGCTGTCCCTCACATCATTATCTGTGACCCGTAACTAAAGCATCACCATTGCTTATGCGAGGGACATACTTGTCTTTCCATGGAGAAGAGTGAGCACATCCCTTCATCATGGACTCGTTGGTTTGGACTAAAGCTTTGAATCATCTGGTGCCTGTGAGGAAGTGTGGTTTTATTTCAAAGCTGTTTCCTGGCAGCCAGGCTCGTTCTTCTGGGGATCATCTACCTCTTGCTGTGCCTGGAAGGCCTCAGGCTTCTCACCCACTCCAAGACTCCACTGTCTCTCCATTTGCTGGGTAGCAGAGGGTTAATGATTGCTTTAGAGGATATTCAGATGGTCTCCCCCCACTCCTGCCCATGCCCAGAGACCATTTTCCATGTGAGATGTGGAAATCTTAAAGGAGACTTGTGAATTTCTTGAAGCTTGTCCAGGGACCATTTTCTAAGATGCCTTAATTTAGGAAGGAGCATCTTCATCATTCATTCCGGGTGCCCTATGGGGAACTGTCTGTCTCCCTTTCCTTTTCTTTGCCACTGCCAAGTCTGTCCACAGTGTCTCATGGCTCTCTTGGTGGCACTGCCCGTGAGAGGTGTCCCCTCAGAGGCAGGCAGGTTGCCAGTGCTCACAATGTTCACCATTCATGTTTCCAACCTGCAGTGGCTGTGGCAGCGGCGGCAGCAGCGTCCAGCCACGCCTGTAAAGTCAGGGTCCTGGACCAAAGCTGTTGCACAGTAGTGCAGTTACGTGGCACAGGTCAACTTGGAGAGCTGATGTCCTCCGCACAGCCCAGGGGCAGCACATTGGGTCTGCCACAGTACTCAAGGGGAGCATCTCATCTTCTTCCCCCTTCCCCAGAAGCCCCCCACTGAGCATGGTGGGTACCAGCTTGACAATTTCTGCTAAAGGAGATGCGGGCTTCTCTTGAGCAGTCTCTGTGTGCACTGGGTTTTCTTTCCCTTTTAAAACACCATGGCAGTTTGTTTGAACTAACAGTTCCAGAAGGATACAGTCCATAATATCCCTCCCGCAGTGATATATGCCTATCAGCAAGCCTCCACCTCTCAAAGGTTCCACCACCTCCCGAAATAGCACAACCAATTGGGGACCAAATGTTCAAATACTCAAGCTTATAGGAGATGCTTCTCATTCAAACCCCAACACCCTATCTCCATTCCTGAGGTGATCTAAAGTCCTCCCCTATCTCCCGCTGTGCCTTTTAGCTTCATTCCCACATGATCTGCCTTGACCTTGCCTCCAGGGCATCTCTGTTACATCTGACCCATGGACCACGCCTCTCTTTTCATAGGTGACATTACATTGTTGGTGTTGTCACATAATCCCACCCCAAGTTCCTGTTCCCAGTCTGGAAACACATTCCAGATCTTGCCAATCCATGTCTATGCCCAATGGTGTTGGGTTTCATCCTCCTGGGTGCGCAGTTTGTGAGCGTTCCCAACGCCATCCCACTCAGCCCCCAGTAGTGTTCCTTCCTGTTCCCCAGAGAAGAGACATAGACACGAGATGGCTGAAAGCACATTTTATTTCCGTAAAAGCTTCTTTCCAGCATCCCAGGCCCCAAGCACAGACGCATCAGGAGTGAGCCCTCTCCATGGACAGTTCCCCCAGGCCAGAGTCCTCTCCTCTCCTAGGATTCCATCCAGCCTGTTGTATTAGCATTCTGCTGAGGGGTTACGGATGTTCCTCCCATAAAGGTTCCTGCCCCTCAGTTCCATTGAGTATGAGGTACGATTCAGAGCTCCTCTCCAAGCAAGAAGAGTGGCAGGAGGGGACTGGCCCAGCAGGAGCATGCCAATGGCACTGGTAACACAGGAAGAATAGCCCCAGGGTGTCTCCCCATCTAACACTACTGGAGGGTACATCACGGAAACTCACTTAGGAGATAAACACAAGATGACACATCTCGATAAGAGACCCATGCACAGAGCACAAAGCACAGTGTTCTCACACACAGGCATTGACAACATTTTTACAAATTTAACGGACTTTGGGGCAGGGGCAGTGGGAAGCTCGCTGGTCCTCTGTAAGGGATGCTTTGCCATAGCCATAAAACCCAGGCTCGTCTTGTCTTCCCTCTTACTACATATGGGATGAAATCGCTCATCTCAGTCCCTCAGGTCCGCTGGGCTGACTGTTGACCGCCTTCAGAGCTGCCGCAGAGAACTGCCACTGCAGAGGCTCTCTGAAAGCTCTACCCCTTGGCTTGAGTCCCCTTGTTGAAAGTCAGTCTTTAAAACCCCAGGAAGATTCTGCTTCTCGGTGCCTCCAGGGCTGGTGAGCGGCCTGGCTTCACCAGGACTGGTGCATAAGGAATGGCAGGCACCGGAAGCTCCTGGGGGTGGAAGGAGCTGTGTTTCCTCAGCTCAGGGCAAAGTGCAGAGCAGGGGCTGTGTAGATCCTTGCCAGCATCAGCCTCACCTTCTTGTCTGCAGATGGGATGTCTTTCGTGCCTGCTGTTTTCTTCTTGGGTATTTTTCATAACCAAATTATTTTGCATCCATATATAGAAAGACTCTTTATTGGAAGTATAGTTACCAATTTGGGCATTGACTTTTGTTGCCCCTCCGTTTGATTTTCCATTCACGGAATGTCACTGAGCAGGATTTACTTAGTTTATTAACTTTTTCCCATGATGCTCTACAGAATATGCTTCTCATTTCTTTTTTTTTTCCTGGCTTATACCATTTCTATATCATCATTGCCTCCCCCAGGCATGCTGGTTCCCGCATACGGTTAGATACAACAAGGCTGGCAAAAAGCTACAAAACCTGGTTGTGGATGGCATTGTTCTCTCCGACATGATGGATGGAGCTTGTGTGCATCCAATTATCTGAACCATGAGGACATTCATGGATGTTACAGGAAGCTTTGGCTTCCAGCCACATCTGCACAAGGCCACATCTGAGAGACAGAGATGGTGTGCTCACCTGCAGGAGATCCTGAACCTGTATCAGGACGTGGAGCTTTCAGGTCTCTGCTCTTGGCAGACTAAGTGTCCTGGGGCTGGTGGATCATTCAGCCTCTTATAGACAGAGAGCAGCAAGAGGAGCAAGAGGGCAAAGTTCAGAGTCCGAAGGTAAGATGCAAGGCTCCTCTTTCCAGGAGTGGAGCTGCAGAGGGAAGCCTCCTCACTCCACACTGTAGGAAGCAAAAGTGAAGAATCTGAGTTATGATCCCTGCACAAATATAGGGGCAGCCAGCGCAGGAAGCTCACACACCTTCCGGACACTGTTCTCAGAGGTGGACTGCAGTTTACTGCAGCCTGCTGGAGAGATCCAAGGTTTCCTATGAAGTCCCCTGCTCTATCAAAGACCAGAACCTTCCCGGAGAAGGAATTTTTGGATCAGAGTTTTTGAATCAATGGAGAATATCTACACACACTCATCTCTAGGAATTGCCACTCCTAGTATTTCTGAGATTGCCATTTTTTTAAATTTTTATCTGCATGTGTTTATGTGTGTATATGTGTATGTGTGTGAGAAAGAGAGAGAGAGATAGATAAGAAAGAGGCAAAACAAAATGTATACATCATTGTATCAGGAAACACTGAGACTCAAAGGGATACTTAGAGTATTAGGTTCAGCCCTATTCCTTTATAAAAAAGGAAAGAGGCCCAGATAGGTCAAATCTGGCATGGGGTATCCTGGATGTTGGTTAGAATACACATCAGCTTGCCTCTGTAGACATAGTCAGCCAGAACTGGTTGCATTGGGGACACAATGCAGAAGAACCCGAAGTTGTCAATCCCATGATGTTTAAATGAATTGACTATTGAGATGTCACAAAAAGGTATATATGTGTCTTCTATTCATGTGTGCTTAGCTGGAAGATACAGCATTCATTAGGGTTTATGTGGCACCCTCTCTTATTCACACTGTCTAGCGGGAGGCTGGAGTGGTGGGAGCTAGTCTACACATGGCTGAGAATGACTTCACAGAAGAAAGGCAGAAGCTCCAGGCAAATAGGTCTGTTGGAGTCATTACTGCAGAATACCTCCCTAGATGAGCACCTGCATGCAGATGATGTCATTTCTGGAATCATGGGATGACAGCAAGGGATCAAGTCCAGCCTTCTCCTTTTATAGACGTTCACTGATCTGCCTTGGGTCACACTCATGGAGGGTGGTTGACAAGGGCAGGAAGGAATCCAGATTGAATACAACATGGAATGTTTTCCTCAGACCATCATGACCCTTTCCAAAAGCTCCAGTGTTAGGGTATTTCCAATAGATTCCAGAGCAAAGACGTCCATGAATAAATGAATCAAGACACAGGATGGGCTGGTGGCTGTGTCCATGACACATGCCTGCTGCCTAGGCCAGCATGTTAGAGTAGAAGCTGGAACTTTCTGTCATGGTTTTCGAGTTGCTGCGAGACGAGCCATTGGAGGTGAGATCCAGGGATGAGGGTGTGACCTTGGGGCCTTCCTCTGGCTCCTCTTCATGGGCTCCCACCACAGTAGAGATGGTGGTCTCCAGGCGACTGACCTTGTACACGCTGCCCTGGGTCTGGAGGTATCGGGTGGATTTCATTTCCAGCCCCTCATAATCACCAGCGCTGATGAAGGGGCAGCAGCGAAAGGCATGCTTGAAGCCCACACGGAACCTGGAGAGAAAAGATGGGGAAGTGAGCCGTGAGACTGCTTGCTTTTAAGAGGTCTTTCTTTCCCATGGTGTCAGCTCCTCAACACGGGACCTACACAGGCCTGATTCTGTGTCATTACATGTTCAAATTAGTTCACATCTGGAGATGTTGAGGACAAGCCCCTCTCAAGGACAGTTGTTAAACTGTCCCCAAAGAAACCAAACCTTTCTTTGGGGCATCCAAAATTAGGTTATTTCCTCAGATGTGTGAAGAGAAGACGTTGGGTTGATTGACCATCTACAACAGCTACTCCTCGTGCGGGTATTTGTGGGGATCTACTAAGCTGTTTGCCAGAGGCTATGGTATGAATGAGGAGTAGAGGTTGGGGCATTTGAATATTCTGTGACCAGTTAGAAGCACTGTTTGGGCAGACTTAGAAGCTGGGGTCTTGTTGGAGGAAGTATGCTACTGGTTTTGAGCTTTCAGAAGCCTCTGCCATTTCTGGTTCATTCTCTGTGCTTCTTGCTTGCAGTTGGAGATGGGAGCTCTTAGCTGTTCCGCCACTGTGTCCACTACCCATTGCCACAGTTCCCTGCCATGATGGACTCTTACTCCTCTGGACCGTAGACCTATATAAACCCTTTTTCCTCTAAGTTGCTTTGGCTATGGTGTCTTATTTCAGCAACAGTAAACGTATGTATCTAGACTCAACCCTTGGCTACCAGGGATGTTTTATCAGGGTGCTGCAGTTTCTATATTTGTTAACGAAAATGGAGAATCATCTTTACTTAAATATATGTTGACAGATTTAACCTAAAAACTTGGAGATAGGTTGTCAAACTCTTAGAAAATGAAACTGTGATGATGTGGGAGTCGCCTCTGTGTGCTGTGATTACCATTAATGAATAAAAAAACTGCCTTGGACTAGTTGATAGGGCAGAACTTAGGTAGGCGGGTAGCTGGAACTGAATGCTGGGAGAAAGAAGGGCAGAGTGAGAGAGAGACACCACAGAACCACCAAAGTCAGACATGCTGAATCTTTGCTGGTAAGCCACTGCCACGGGGCGATATACAGATTACTAGAAATGGGATAAATTAATATAAGAGTTAGCCAATAAGAAGCTAGAGCTAATGGGCCAAGTCAGCGTTTTAATTAACATGGTTTCTGTGTGATTATTTTGGTTCTGGGCAGCCGGGACAAACAAGTGGCCTTCCTATTACACTGTGAGATCATAGAAGACCACAGAGGCAAGTTCAAGAGGATGTCATTCTTCACATACTTCTAGTGCTTAAGGGTTTCAGTTATGGGGCCCATCCCATATCTCTATCTATCTATCTATCTATCTATCTATCTATCTATCTATCTACCTACCTACCTACATACCTATAGAGAGAGCATGAGGGGATCGGAGGGTAGGGTAACAGGGTTTTTCCATTTCCCCTTCATCTCAACAGCCTTCCCCAAATAAATGTTGGATGCTTCCTTTGGGTGACAATCACACTACAGCCTGGTATCCCAGGCCCCTCCTGTGTGCTCTTGACCTGCCACAGGAATGCTTTATTGCTGACAGCCTCTGGGGGGCTCCCTTCTCTGAATTGTCTGAGTTCACCTCTGTTAGGAGAAGACTCAAGCCTGTCCTGACCCCGATGAGCGTGGGTGGCTCTGAGTGTGCAGAGAGCTTGCTGCAACCCCCTCCCCCTCCCCCTTGATGGTAGCCTGTGGTTGGGGTGTGTGAGCATGGCATCCTCACCTGTCGTTGAGGCAGCAGTAGATGATGGGGTTGTACATGGTGGAGCTCATGGCCAGCCACATGATGGCCAGGTAGACCTGCTGGATGAACTTCTTGACATAGAGATCTGGGTTGATGTAGGGCAGGAGGAAGAAGATGTGGAAGGGCAGCCAGCAGATGGCGAAGGTACACACGACCACGATCATCATTTTCACCACCTGGGAAGAGGGTAAAGCAGGCAGGCCCATCAGCACATCTTCCTGTGGGGTGGCTTCTATCCCCTCCCCGTCACTGTGTAGTGCTGGTAGGAAGGGAGGTGTTTATACTATCATCTTTTAAGGAGGCTGGGAGACCTTTAGCAGTGAGGCTTAAGGATGCTGGTTACAGTTGTTAGCATGTGGTCCAGGATTGCCATTGTCGCTACTACCAGGAACTTGTCAGGAATTACGGGTTCCTAGACCCATCCCAGATGTACAGAATTATAACCTGAGAGTGGATCAGGACCCCTTCAGAGGATATGATGTGCTGTTATGTGACCCTGCTGGGAAATGTATAGAGAAGCCAAGGGAGAGACACTGAGCAGAAGTGAATGGGGACTCAGGAGAGAAGGCCCAGGGAAGGCAGCAGAGGGCTGGGCCAGTGGAGGAAGGGAGTCGGGGAAGGTGCTTGGTCCGGAGACTGAAGCAGAGGGGAGAAGGGAGAGCTTTGGAGAGCCCCTGTAAGGACAAATCCAGTGTTTAAAGGGTGCTTGAGGAAGCTCTGTGAGACTTGGAAGCCTGTTACGTCAGGCCCCATCACATGGTGAATCGCCACTGCCAGTGACATGTGACATGTGACAGTATTAGGACATAGGCCTTTGGGAAGCCATTAGACACTGATAGCAAAGATTTATAGAGAAGATTAAAGCCCTTTTTAGAGGGGCCTAGGACTCTCTTGCCTTTCCACTGCGAGAGCACCCGGTGCGAAGGTGACTGCCATGAGCAGGTAGTGCCTCATAGACAGGGGCTCTGCCTTGGTCCTGGCCTCCTGGCCTCCAGAGCTGTGAAGACCAATTTCTCTTGTTTATAAATTTCCAGACAAAAGTGCTTTGTGTTGATGGGTTAGAACAATATGTAAGAGCTAGCCAATAAAAAGCTAGAGTTCATGGGCCAAGCAGTTCTTAAATGAATACAGTTTGTGTGTTGTTATTTCGGGCATAAGCTAGCCAAGCGGCCGGGGTGTTGGGGACGCAGCCCCGCCGCTCCTATTTCAACATTGTGTATGCATGTGTGTGTGTGTATGTGTGCAAGTTGTGTGCATTTGTCTGAGTTCTATGTATGTATATGTATGTTGAGTGTGTATGAGTTGTGTATGCATATGTGTAGGCATATATATGTGTATGTGTGTGTATGAATGGTATACATGTGTATGAGTTTGTGTATGTTTGCATATTTGTATATTAGCATATGTGTTTGTATATATGTATATGAATATGTGCATATGTGTATATGTATGATAATGTGTATGTGAATGTCTACACATGAAGGATTATGTGAATGTACATGAGTATATATATATGAGTACACACATATTTGTGTATAAGTATGTATGTATATATATATATATATGAGTGTGTGCCTTTGAATCTGTGTCTCTATATAAGTGTATACACATGTGACATACCTGTGTGAATTTATGTGATTGAGTGTATTTGTATGGACATATGAGAGTGTATATGTGTATAAAATTTGTGAGTATATGTATATGAGCATCTATATGTGTATGTTTATATATGTGTGTGTATGTGTATGAGTGTGTGTGCACATGCATACTAGTATTTGTGTATATGTTTATGAATGCCTATATTTGTGGGTAAGTGCATATATATGTGTATATACATGAGTGCATTTTTGTATGTATACATATATGTGTATGACTGTTTATGTTTGTGTGTATATGAATGTCTATATGTGGATGTATATGTGTATATTATGTATGAGTGTATATTATGTGAATGCATATGTGTGGAAGAGTAGTTTTGTATGTGTATGATTATGTGTATATATGAGACTTTGCACATGTGTATGACATGAGTGTGTATATGTACTGGTGGGTGTGAAGAAAGACCCTGCTTTCCTCTCCTGTTCCTGAGGTCCAGAGATGCCTTATGGCCTCTCCCTAACCTCTCCCCTGTTACTGTCAGTGCCATGGTGGTCTATGCCTACTTGGCCTTTGCTCACCTTGCGCTTGGCAGACACTTGCTCGTGGTAACGGTTGGAGGAGTCCCCAGGGATCTCGCTGGCCCACAGTGTGATCCCTACCACAGTGTATGCATAGCCAATCACCAGCAGAGGTAGGAAGTAGATCAGCACAGTCACACAGATGTGGTACCTGTGAGGTAGACAGAGGAGTCAGTCTTAGAAATAGCAGGCTCCAAACCCAGACCTGGATAGCTGAACACCCAGCAAGGCTCCATTTCCTAAAGTTCCATGACCTTCCAAAAATAGCACCACCTACTGGTAACCAACTGTACAAACATGAGCCTGTGTGGGGCATTTCACATTCAAATGGTAACAGTAGTAGAGGTTGGAGGATGACCTGGAGGCCCCCGATCTTCCTGCCTCAGCCTCTGGAGCTCTGGGACTACAGTTAGAGGTGTGTACCCTCTCAGCACAGAGCCAACTTCCTACAGCTGGGGAAGAGCCCCTGCAGACTTGTTTTTTTCCACTCTCTGACAGCCAGTGCTAAGCTCTCACTTTTCAACAGGGAACCCATGTTGGCACTCCGTCTCTCCTCGCCAGCACTCCACGTGCTCTCAGGCATGTACTTGTCAATCTCAGCAGCTCTGCCATGTTGCCAGCCTTCCCGGAATATGGAAATCAACAATTTGAAAATACTTGAGTAGTCCTGAGCCCTGAGCTGCAGAATTGGCGAGGCTGAGTGGTAGTACATCCATTGTGTGCAGGCACGCTGATCCTGGCTCCTGGGGCTCTCAAGGTCCTCCTACAGCCACCACAGCAGTGGCAGTGTGCTGTGTGCCCGGTTTGCTTTTAGTCCTTCCTTCAGGTTTCTGTGGTGACTGTGCTTACAAACAAAGTGTTTAGAGACGACAGGGATGGACAGAACCAGAGAATATTCCAAGACTCCCCCATGGTCCCTTCTTAAAAGAAAAGCTCTGCTTCCTGTGGACTGATTAATAATCATACGAATGAACAAACACTCTGGTTACTGCCTTGACAGGTTACTGCCTTGGGGTGCTCTCTGGACCTGACTAGTGAAGGATGCGTGGAAAGATACTGTTGTCCAATAGATGCCTCTTTCTTTGGATCCATGTGTTACTCACAGCTGGTTTCAGAATCCCCTAGAGAACTTGAGCAATTGCAAAGGGCTGGTCATTAAAAAAAAAAACAACACTTATTTATTTATTTTACATATTTGTGTTTGTGGTGTATATGTGTGTGCATGTGTATATGTAGGTTATTATGTGGTAAGGGTGTGTAACGCCCAGGCATCTGCACGTGCAGGTCACGGGTTGACATTGATTATCTTATTCTATGACTCTCTACCTTATTTTTGGAGGTAGGGTCTCTCACTCAACACGGAGATCACTGATTGGCTAGACCGGGGGGTGGGCTAGCAAGCTCCAGGGATTGTCTTGTGTCTGCCTCTCATTTCTGAGATCACAGGTGTGACCCACCTTGACCCACCTCACTGGGCTCTTTGCACAGTTCCTGGGAATCTAAATTCAGGCCCCCATGATTTCATAGAATTTTACCCACTGAGTTGTCTCCCCTGTGCCAAATCCCTTGAACTTATATCAAATTCCCAGGAGATACTGCTGTTCCTGGTTCAGAAATTGAAAAACATTGCCCTGGACCAGTGGTTCTCAGCCTCAAGTGCATAGGAGAGTGGCTGTGAGAGCTTTTAATGTCCAGTGACTGAAGGTGTTCACTCAATTAGCCTGGGTGTGAGAGTGGGAGAGTATAATATAGAAAATTCCCTAATTTATTGTAATAGATGGTAGGGATGGGGAACTTCTATTTTAGGCTTTGAATCCACAAGACTGATGAGTCCCTGTTGGGACTCCATGGGTATTTGTAATTGAATGACTTCATTAGAGCATGTGTTAAATTCATTTTCCCTTATATAACTTATCCTTTGGTATCTGGGGTCTTGTTGATCAGAGGAGCCTGGGCTTACAGAAGTAGCTAATTCATAGAGATAATAGTCACAGCCTTTTTCTCTCACCCTCCTTCCCCTCTCTTTTTTCTCTGATACAGGGTATCACTATGTAGCCTGGCCTTTGAAATTGTGCTGTCTTCCTCCCTTGGGTTCTCTTAGATGCATACACCACTACACCAGGCTGATCCTTCTTTTTCCAAGGGACAAAAAAAGGAATGTTGTTATTTCTTTGGAAATAACAATCAATATGAACTCACTTTTGGTGAAAAGATATGACAGGGGCTGGGGAGATGGCTCGGTCAGTAAGATGCTTGCCTCCCAACCGTGAGGACTTGAGTTCATATCTACAGGACACATGAAAAAAATCCAGGTGTGGCAGTACCCATCTGTAATCCAAATCTTGGATATGGAGATAGGCAGACCCTTGGAGCACACTACACAGAAAGTCTAGCTAGAATGGTGAGCTCCAGCTTCAGCAAGAGACCCTGTCTCAAAAAACAAGGTATAGGGTGACTGAGAAAGATACCTGATGTTGGCCTCCAGTATCCACATGAGTGTTCAAATATGTGTGCATGAGAACATATGCCCATGACATGTACACAAAAACACACAAACACACACATAAACTCACAGTGTTATAGTCAGGTTGAACATTATTTTTTCTATTGCCTAACAGGGATAATGAAGAATAATAGATAGATTGTCAATTAGTTTCATTTCTAGGCACACACTCAAAGAAACAGAAAGCCGGAACACCAACAGATATTTATGCACTATTATTCATAACAGCTAAGATATGGGAACAGCACAAATACAAGTCAATAGATGAATGGATAAACAAATTGTGGTATTCAGCCTGAGAGAAGATGAGGTCTACAGGTAAACTCTGCAAACACTATGCTAGGAGAATAAGTGAGCAGACATAGAAGAGTAAATTCTGAAGAATTCTGCTTCATATAACACATATGCGCCATAGAGACAGGGAGTAGATTAGGTAGAGAGTAAGTACGTCGGGGACAGAGTAGGAATTCATACTCAGTGTGCACAGCGGCTCTGTTTGGGATGATGAAAATATTCTAGAAATGGACTGATGAGGGTGTTATTGCATTGCGAATGCTCTAATGACACTGAACCATACTCTTTAAAACTCAAAAGTGATTATTTTAAATTATGTGTTTGCATGTGTGCCTATGTGTATGCCTGTGCACATGAGTGCAGTGCTCATGGAGGCCAGATGAGGGTGCTGGGTTCCTTGGCCAGGGTAGGTGCAGGGACCTAAACTCAGGTCCTCTGCAAGTTAAGACTTGTGTTCTTAACTACTGAGCCAACTCTCCAGACCTGGACTGTACACTTTAAGATTGTAGGTCTTAAAAAAATATATTTCTAAATAAAATAACTATATAAAGTATTTTAGCCTGGCCTTCCTGATTCTAGTTCTCCAGATTTATAAGACTATAGCCTTCTGGTTTGTTTCTCTGTGTACTCCTCAACAGATCCTTCCTAGAAAAGAGAAAGTTTTTTTTTTTTATTATTTTATTTGTTTTTTAAAACAATCTTTTCTCAGTTTACATACCAATGCTAGTTCTTACTCCCTCCTCTCCTCCCCGAATGCAGTGGTATATTATTTGTATTTCGATAAATAAATCTTGCCTGAAGACCAGAGCAAAGCTAAAGCCACTAGAGAAGTCTTACCTCTACCAAGGCTGGGAGACCACAGACTAAGCAAACAGCCTCTCTCTCCTCTCATTTTATATTCCCTCTAGTGCTGGGATTAAGGGCATATGACTCCTCAGTACTGGAATTAAAGGCATAGGCCACCAACACCTGAATTTATTTCTGCATTGATTTTATGTTGCCCAGGGTGGCCTTGAATTCACAGAGATCCATCTGACTCTGTCTCCCAAATCTTGGGATTAAAGGTGTGTGTCATAATTGCCTGACCTCGAGTGGTGTTAGCTTTGCCTTTGGTCTTCAGGCAAGAGTTACTCATCAAATTACAAGCAATATACCACTATACCCATACCTTCCCCCCACCTCATTCCTGTCCACCCCTCAGAGAGGGTAAGGCTTCCCATGGGGAGTCAATAAAGTCTGGCACATCACTTTGAGACAAGACCAAGGTCCTCCTCCTATATCCCCCTATATTTAGGCTGGGCAAGGTATCCCTCCAAAGAGAATGGGCTCCACAAAACCAGTTCAAGCACTAGGGATAAATCCTGGTACTGGCAATTGATGTAGGATTGCCCTGTGTATGTTGAGATTACCATTAATGAATAAAGAATCTGCTTTGGATCTATAGCAGGGCAGAACTCAGCTAGGTGGGGAAAACTAAGCTGAATGTTGGGAGGAAGAATGACAGAGTCAGAGAGAAGCCATGGAGCCTCTGGAGACAGATGCTGGGAACTTTAGCCAGTAAGCCACAGCCACGTGGCAATATACAGAATAATAGAGATGGGTTAGTTTAGGATGTGAGTTTAGCCAGAAATATGCTTAAACTATTGGCCAAACAGTTTTGCAAATAATATGGTTTTCAGAACTTATCTAGGCAGAGAAAACTAAGCTGAATTCTGTGAGGAAGAAGGGTGGAATCAGAGAGAAGCCATGGAGCCACTGGAGACAGAAGCTGGGAACTTTAGCCAGTAAGCCACAGCCACGTGGTGATACACAGATTAATAGAAATGGGTTAAATTAATATGTAAGAGTTAGCCAATAAGAAGCTAGAGCTAATGGGCCAAGCAGTGATTTAATTAATACAGTTTCTGTGTGGTTATTTTGGGACTAAGCAGCCAGGATGAACAAGTGGCTCCTGTCCTCTCCAACAAATTGGCACCAACGTGGCAAACTAAAATCCACTTAAAACCTGCAAGAGCTTAATTCTAGATGCAGAACTACAAAGTTTAACACATCTTCTTGCTGTTTACTGGTGGCATGCCACAGCTCCTTTAAGAGAGGCTTTCCTGAATCAGCTGTAGCAAAAAAAAAAAAAAAAGCCATGCCATTTTAAAATGCCAGCTTTCTGGGCCATGCTGCCAGCATGACCTCTGGCTTTTTTTTGAAGACAGAGCATTTGGATGGGGTTTATGAGCAGCGTATTGTGGCTTGCTTGATGGCAACATGGACCAGCTCTGTGCTTGAAAGTGGGGTGGTGTGAGCTCAGAGGCACAAGTGGCTCTACCATGCTGGATTGGGCGAGGCAAGCAGGAAGTACT